TAAAAGATGACTCTGAGAAAAAGGATTTCAACTTGAAGCAGCAAGACTGATGTCAGAATAAGGTGAACACCAACTTCCACTGTAGTTGGTAGAGCTAAATTTCTCCTAGGTGCAGGTTCACAGTTGAGAAATGGCTGGACATATAAGATTGGAAGACTAAGCAGATAGATGTTGGGATCCAGTTTTCTCACTATCGAAAGGGAAAACAGCTAGAATGATTGATATGGTTGAGGATGCTAGTGGGGCACATCTGTATCAACGTACTTTGAGCTTAGTATAGATGCATATGGGTAGATTCAGAAATAATTATAAATACGTGTGTAAACATGGTTAGTATACATACATGTACATATTTCCTAACTATGTCTCTGAGAGAGGCCAGAAGCAATGGCACCGAGGTAGCAACTAGCACATGTAGAGCCCAGATTTTGGTTTCTAAGTCCTTTCTCTAAAACGATGGGGGAGGGGGTCCTGAGATACTGGTAGAAATGGCTGAATCAAGGCGGAACCACTGAGCTAAATCTCCAGCCCTGATGACCTTTAGTTTTGAGGAGTACAGGTCAAATGTTTTGAAGAATGTCCCCAAATTTGCATTTATTGAATGTTTTTCTCTTGATTACACTGGAGTTATAGGGTTTAGGAGGAAGACCATAGACATGATGTGATACTCTCATCACATTGTACCAAAGGTACATGCTATCAACGTGACTTATCACAGTGACATTAACCTTGGTCACCTGCCCAAGGGAGTGTTTGCCAAGTTTTTCTTTGATAAAGTTTCTTTCTGTCCCTGCCTCTCCACCTGACTCTTTCTATAATCCACTCTTGGAAGGCAGTTCAGTTTCACTTCCTTAGGTGAAGAATAGCTATATAAATTACTTGGTTTTCTTCTGTAAGAGAGATACAGTTTCCCCCATTTACTTATTACTCTATCATCTCTGTCAGTATGTGCTCAGGGATATTTATTTTGTACTTTAGATTAGAATCCCAATATTATGTTACCTATATTGTTGCTCAAATTGTCCCTGCCTTGGCTATTGGGAGCTTTTCCACTTTAGCTCCTATGCAAAATGCTCTATCATTTTATTTTTGATCATGTCTTTCCTTTCTGGCACTACAAGATTCTTAAGATTTATCTCATTTTTCCTGCTCTAGCCCTTGATTCTACTCCTTCTGCAAGAGCCGCTCTCTTTCATGTTGGTCAGGATTCATGGTAAAGACATGGTGATACAGGCAAAGGAACCAGGGCTGGGAATCCTGAATCCTGAATTCAAATCCTAGTTCTGTTAGCAATTTGTAGCACAAACCCAATCAAAATCACTTTCCATATCTGGATAGTGCAATTCCAAGTAGCATATATATGTTAATCTTATCCTAGGGAAGGTCTGGAGAAAGACCCTTGAGGTCCTTCTCACCGTATGCCTAGTGTCTTCCTATTGACTGAAGAATTTCATTCCCTCCTAGGAACTGAGCAATGCTTCGTAATGTGGCTTGGTTCAGAGAGGGCGAGAAAGGCAGAGAAGAGCCTCCGTGTCTCCCAAGGCCCCATTAGTCCAGACCAGGGGTCAGCAAGCTACACCTTGCGTTCAAATGATCTATGAGCCAAGGGGAGTTTTTACAGATGAACACTTGCAATCAATTTGATGATAGGATCATAGCTTTAAGTGAAATGTCATCCTTTAAAAAAGAATTCTGTTCTTATTAGTAGACCTCTGTTATAAAAAATTATATTCAAATAGCTACTTTGAGTTTTGCCAATTAAAATTTTATGGAAGTGTGTCTTCTATTCTGTCATTGCAATTACAAAATATCCTACTTCCTCTTGCCTGCAAAATCTCTGTCAGCCATCATTGAGTCATCTGCCTATCTGCCATCTCAAATCTGTCCTAAGCTAGAAACACCTTCTCAGCCTAGTCTAGCCATACCAGTTCCCTGATTCAAAGTTTCTGTGGGATGTGTGTGCCTTCAGGATGGCCCAGAGCCTTAGCCTGGCTTCTGGCTTCTGGTTTCTGGCTTCCTCCCCAGCTCCTCTCATGGAAGAACTTCCCTTCCTAGAGCACTTGCTTTTCTTAGCACCAGCATTTTGCACAACCTGCTCCCTCTACCTAAGATGCCTTCTACAGCCCAAGTGCAGTTCTTCTTGGTCTTTTAAGTCATTGCTGACCTCACTTCCTCCAGAAAGATTTCCCTGATCCCACCTCCCTTTAGGCTGTTAGGTGCCCCATCTGGGCTTGGGTGCCTCTGCATTGTGCCAGCCTAGCATTGACCACACTCTGTAAATGCCTATGGCATCCAGTAGACTGAGAGCCCCTCAGAGCCAGGGTTGGTCCAATTCTGCACTGACCTCCCTGCTTCCCTGACTCTTGCCACGTGGGGAGGGAGCAGACCAGAGCTGGAGCTGGGGGTTAGGAGACCCAGTTCATTTCCTTCCCTGCACTGTTCTTCATCTGTACAATGGGGGCTGTGGGCCCTGGAAGGTTCTAAGGCCTGGGTCAAATGTGGGAGTTGGAACCTTGCGGGCAGGGCAGCAGCTCAGCTCCCAGACCAGTTCTCCATAGGCAACTCCAGACAAACATGAGCCTGGGCCCTGGGACTGGCGTGATCTGGGCCATTCCATCCAAAGGTCAATCCTTAGTGACCAGCTGCAACTGGCCTGGCCCTGGATCCTGCCTGCCCATCCTCTTTCCCTTCCCTTCCCTAAGAGCCAAGAAGAAAAAGGACCTTGGCTAGACGCACTTCTGAGGACAGTGCACAAATATGTGTGCATATCAATGGGCCAATTTCTCTAAGAGTAGCCCTGTGTGTACACGGGCTTATGTGAACACGTGTATACACCTGTGTATGAGTCTGTAGGTGCACATCTATACACACCACTACATTTTCTGCATTCACATTCACATGAGTGTGTTCTTGTGCCCGTGTGCCAGAGTGGGCATGGCTGTGTGTTATAGCAAGAGTTGAAAAAGCAGAGATCCAGGCCCCTCAGCCCTGCCAAATTGCGACATAGAGTTCTTTGGGGCTCCTCTGACCACTCAACTGCAAAGCTCCTACTCAGGAACATGCTGGGGTGCCCAGTCTATATGGCCCCTCATTCCTTCTCCCATGGGACCAGTACTGTTGAGGAGAATACTAAAATGATAAGGACAGAACCTGAGGGTACTGTAAGGGGCACTGACATGCTCCACCAGTTTCCTCCATCCCCTTGGTTTTTCTGCCATGCTGGGAAGAGAACCCAGGGCCTGGCACGTGCTAGGGCAAGCACTCTACGTACGGGTAAGCTACACTCTCAGACCTCAAGACTCCTCTGTATCATTTCCAAGTGCTCTATTCTGTGCTACTAACCCTGCCTGTGCCTCTCTTGGGTTCACTGTGAACAACTGAAGACACTGTCCCTGCATTCAGAGCCTGGTGAACACCTGGGAATTACACTGTCTATTCCCATCCAAGATGACCTTCAACCAAAACTAAGTTGTAAAAGCTAGCTGCCTTGCTGTAAGCTGGAACAAACTCCAGAGCACAAGTCACATTCCAGGGCCCCATGAAGGATCAGGCTGAAGCTGCTGGCCCTGGAACTGAAGCTTACTTAGTTTCTTACCCTGCCCTGAGCCCTTTCCTTTTCTCCCTGAGGCATTTCCTTAATAACTCCTCATCTCAGGGTCTGCATCCAGGGAGACCAGGGAATGAGGCCTAGGACTGTTTGCTGTGACTGTTTCCTGCAACTCCTGTACAAAGGGGATATAGAATAGGCTGGGAGCGAGGCAGGGAGGTAAGAATCCTGTAGCCCCTCTCCTGTGTGCTATCTGCTTACCTTCACCACCCCTGCAGGCCCCCAACAGCCCTGGGATAGAAAGGATTCTTGAGGCTTCTGGGGTCCCTCAGTCCTCAGGGTGTCCCCTTGAACCATCACCTCTCCTTGGGAAATGAAGCACCTGGTGGGGGGATCTTTCAGGATGTGGGTCAGCAAGGCAAATATTCCTTTCCCAGCCCCCTTACCACACTGCCTTTGAGGTAGGGGCTCTGGGCAATCTATATCTCCTTGTTTTCAGGTGAGATTTCGCAGATTGGAAAAGCACAATTGTAAAAATTGAGGAACTCGGATCTCAACTTCACCTCTACATCACCTTGGCTGAGTCCATTTAAGGAAGTTAACCAAGGTTCTAGAGGACTCTGTTTCCTTAGCCGTGACATAGGGAACCACACAGCATTTCAGAGCACAAGATTCTAGCCTCAATTCCCCCTCCCACACTTGGCACTCCTGAAAATGAATAGACCAGTTACTTACTTGCCCCGTGCCTTGGGTTTGCCATTTGTCAATGGAGATAGCCACAAGACTGAGCACATAGTTTGTTGTGAGAATTAAATAGGATAAAGCACTTGGCAGGCACTTGGCACACAGTGAGCTCTGGAGAGCTGGTAGCTATTTTTGTTCTTGTTATGTACCAAGCTTAGGGTTGTATAACTGGGTTGGTCCTGTGGCCTCACTGGCTTGACATAACTCCCTGGTTTTGTGCAAGTTAAAGGACATTGCACAAAGGAGCCCCTAGGGAAGGGCAATAGGCAGTGTCTCACTACTGCAATGCTTCCCTAGGCTTCAGAAAGGAGCAGGGCCCAGGACCTGATGCCTCGGGTGCTCAGAGCAGGTGGGCTAATCCGGGGGGCTCCAGGGGTGCCAGGTATGTTTCTTATACCACCCAAATTGCGTGGCACAGCCAAGCCGTTTCCTTTCTTGCTGTTTGCTAAAGTGGACAGAAATGACGCAGATGAGCCCTTATCCCCTTTTCCTGCCTGAGTTTATTCAGAGAGTAGTGGTATTTTATTTTGTTTTTTTCAAAAATGTATTTATTTTGTCAGATTTCTCTTTTTGGTTTTTTTGTTTTGTTTGGTTTGTTTTTATATTATGAAACAGGGTCTTACTATTTATCCTAGGCTGGCCTGGAACTTGCTATGTAGCCCAGGCTGCCCTTGAACTCTATATTATCCTGCCTCAGCTTCCTAAATGCTGGGATTACTGGCATGCATCACTACATCTAACTTCTTCTCAATTGTTTGTTGTTGTTTGTTTGTTTGTTTGTTTTTTGGTACTGGGGATCAAACTCAGGACTTTGCAGCATGACTGAGCTAAATCCCCAGCCCTCTTCTTAATTGTGAATCATAATAAAATACAAGTAACAGCTGAGATTTAGCTCAGTGGTTCCTCTGCCTGCCTTGCAAGCACAAGGTCCCAAGTTCAATCCCCGGTACCTAAAATAAAATACTATTAACATAAAGTTTACCATCTTAATAATTTCTCAGTGTAGAGTTGAGGTACATTCACATTGTTACACATTCATCACCATCTTCCATCTCCAGACTGCTCTTCATCTTGCAAAACCAACTCTATCCCATTAAATAATAACCTCTCATTCCCTCTAACCCCTCTTGTTTGCTGTTGTTTTGATCTGTGTAAGAACAAGGATGGGTGCTTGATCTATTTCAGAAATATTTAGTACTGGTTTCCTATGAGCCTGGAGCTGTACATGCAGTGAGGACTTGAGGCTTATCATCAGCACTGAAGGTTTAGGATTCAATAAGTCTGAAAAAAAAATGGTGAGAGAAACTTTTTTATTTATTCATCTAACTAACTTCCTCTGACCTATCAGGCTCATCCAGCCAGGAAGTAGCAATGGAAGACACCCTCTCCCTCCTGGAGGTGCCTATGTCTGGTGCCAGGGTAGGGAGCAAGGTCCACCTGTGTCATTGGACTTCCCATGCCTCTCTGCCTGGCCAACTGCTGCCCAGCCTCTGACCACAGAAAGTCTCAGATGCTGCAGAAATGCCAGGGAGCAGGGGCCTTACTGCCTGGAGCCTGTGGGATGACCCCTGCATAGGAAGCTGGGTCCTGGGGTCCAGCCCAGCGCCACCAGAACCCACTGGGTAACCTTGGCCTAAAGCCCTCCACACCACCCCTGGATCTCACTCTGCTGTCAAACTGGGATTAGCTATTCCTGACTCACACACCCTAAACACCCTTATCAGTGATAATTTAGACCATGAATATGAGTGTGTTTTAACGAACTGTTCTGTGAACATAAGAGCTCCGATTACACACATTCTGTGGTTGCTAATTTATGTGATTTGTAATGTAGAGGAGTAGACACCATCTCTGTGATTTCAAACATGAACCTTAATTTCTTCTCCACCCTGATCCCTGACACAATACAGATGGACACTATGGTTTGGCATCAGCCAGGGACTGGGCCGAAGGTCCCAAAGCAAAAGCAAGCCTGCCCTTCTGAAGTGAATCACTTTACTACCTAGCCTCCCAGATCTTCTTGTCAAAATAAATTAAAACTCCATTGTGTCCTAAACAGTCATCACTGAAGTCTTGGAGACATCATAAGCAATAGTATGGCACTGTACCACTACTCTCACTATTACAGCTAGTAGTAGTAATGATTGGAACTAATGCAATGTGCCAAGCATTGTGGGGAAAGTTTTCCTGGCCCCATTTAGTCTTCACATCATCTTTATGAGATTGGCCTTATTATTACCCATATTGGATAGATGAAGTAACTGAGGCACAAAGAGGTCAAGTAGCTTGCCTGGGGCCACATTGCTTGTCCAGGGTGGGGTTGTGTTCAACCCCAGGCAGCTTAACTCTGGAGCCCCTGCCTACTGCTTATCTATGGAGGTGTATGCACAGCTTGGGAGGCTGAGGGTATTTGGTCAAGGTCGTTCCATGAGGCACTGAGCCCACAGCTCCCTGATCTACAGCCCTGCAGATAGGAATGAGTCCTAGTGGAACACTGTTCTTTCTCGGCTCAGCAGTTCAAACTTGGCCTTCTGCTTTGAATTCATGTGGCAAATCCGCTAAGGCCTGTCACATGACCACAGAGTGTCCTCTAAGACTGGACACATGAATTCTTTCACCTTTGGCAGTATGAGAAAGGTAGCCCCCATACAAACAGACATGAAGAAATCTAATATTATTTTAATAAATTCTTAAAATTCTACAATGGCCTAGCATGTATGATGGAAATAACTAAGCCTCAGGTCATAGGAGATCTCTCCATGGCCTCCTCCAAGTGCCCACAGAAAGATTGGGCAGGTTGCTACACTGCTTTCACAGTCAAGAAGCCCCACCCCTTTGTTTTGATTCATCTGTGCACAAAGCAAAGACATGAAGCCTGTAGTGGAGGGCTGGAAGATGATTCTGTCCTCAGGGTTCAGGCAGAAGTACACTGCCTCTAGGAGAGGAAAACAAGCAATATTCAGCAGGAGCTCCTTGGAGGAGGCGGAGGAAATCCCTCACCTCTTTACAGGCCTGTGGTTGTCATAAAAAGGCTATTGTGGGGCTGGGGTGTAGCTCAGTGTAGAGTGCTTGCCTAGCATTCACAAGGCCCTGGGTTTGATCCCAGTACTGCAAATAAATAAATAAATAAATAAATAAATAAATAAATAAATAAGCCTACTGTTATAGGAGGCCTACAAACAAGCAATTAAAGAAAAATTCCTGCCCCTTGGGAAGGGATGAGAAATTGTCTCTGTCTGAGGATCCTGTACTGATACCCACTAGAGGTGGGATCCCACTTGGAGAGGTGCAGGAAACTCTTTTCCACTCAAGAGTAACTATGGATACAAGGCAGGAGGTAGCTGCATGGGAAGAGATCCAGAAATGCTGAGAATGCTGGTGAAATAACCAATTGGAGGCCATTAGGCAGACACAGCTCCACTGCCTTAGGTCCCTACACAAGAAAAACAAAACACAACTCAGTGTAACCAACTGAAAATGTCAACTAACCTCTAACTAGAGACTTTCTGCAGATCTCAAACAAATAATACCAATGCCTATCTGCAGACAAGTAATTTATTTACTTTACTTCTCTATGTTCCACCTATAAAAGCTGGCTGCCCACGCTGCTGGAGCAAAGGTTGCTGACTATCTAATGGTTTCAAATACTGTACAACTGAAGAAGCCTTTAATACTCATAGAAACTCTGTTAGACTTATTTCATCTAAAGTTTTTATTTTCACAAAGCTCTGCCTCCAAGCCAGGTTTGGTGGCCCATGCCTGCAATCCTAGCACTCTAGGAGGCTGAGGAAGGATTGCAAATTCCAGCCCATCCCAGGCAACTTGGTGACTTAGCAAGATCCTATTTTAAAATAAAAATAAAAAGAGCAGATGTAGCTCAGGGCAGAGGCCCTGGGTTCAATCTTTAGTATCACCCCCCCCCACATACACACATATACACACACAAGCCCTGTCTCAAAGGAGACCAAGACAGATGAAGCTAGGCCTGCTCAAGACCCTTGTAGACCTACATAATAGAGAATCCACTGCACCCACCATTGTCTTGCAGCAGAGAAAGAAGCCAACAGCAATCTGTTGCTCAGGAAAGGCAGAGCATGGGGAGAGATCTACCTTGTGACACAAGTGCACTGGGGACGATGGAAAACTGAGGGTGAACTGTGAGCACTGAGAAAGACTTCATCAAAGTTACAAGTTCTTGTGCTTGCAAGAATACTATCAAGAAATTTAGAAGACAACCCACAGTATGAAAGTCAATATTTTTACAAAGCATATATTTGATAAGGACCTGGTGTTGCAATATAGAATGGTGCCCCTGTTCACGAACTTGATTCTTTTCATGATTCTGGTTGCAAACAGTTGGATGAGAACCAAATCAAACTCAATGATTAGGTTCAATGTTGACTTTATGGGGAAACTCTTACAACAAAAGGATATCCCATTAAAAATGGGGAAAGGGGGCCAGGGATTTAGCTCAGTGGTGCCACCGCCTGCCTCGCAAGTGCAAGGTCCTGAGTTTGACCATGGTAGGAAAAACAAAAACAACAACAAAAATGGGCAAAGGCTTTGAACTGACTGTTCTTCAAAGAAGATTCACAAATTGTCAATAAGCACATGAAAGGATGCTCAACATCATCAGTCATTGGAGAAATAAGAATCAAAACCATAATAAGACACCACTCACTCCCACTAAAATTGCTGAGGGCAAAAAGTCGTATAATGGAGAAAATGGAATCTTCAAACACTGTTGGCGGGATATAAAGTGGTGCTGACAATTTGAAAAACAGTCTGGACATTCTTTGAAGAGTTAAGCATGCAAATATCATTGGATTCAGCAATTCTACTTCTAGGCATATATCAAGAGAAATGGCAGATACAGTCACACAAAATTTTGTACACAAATGTTTACAGTAGCATTATTCATAATAGCCCCAAAATGGAAACAACCCATCAGCTGATGAATGGATAAACAAAATGCATTATCTATGTGGTGAAATAGTATTTGATCATAGAAAGGAGTGAAGTACTGATATATTGTACACAAGTGAGTGGTGAAAACATGGTGTGTGAGAGAAGCCAGGCACAAAAGCCATGCATTACATGATTGAATTTATATGAAATTTCTAGAATGAGCAAATTTATACAGACAGAAAGTAGAGTAGTATTTGCTTAGAGCTAGGAGGGATGAGTGATTGAAGAATGGTAGCTAAAGGACTTCTTCTGCTCCTTCTCCTTCCCTTTCCCCTCCTCCTCCTCCTCCTCCTCCTCCTGCTTCTTCTGTATCGAGGATCGAACTCGGGACCTCGCACTTGTGAGGCAGGTGCCGGAACCACTGAGCTAAATCCCCAGCCCCTAGGATTTCTTCTTAAAAGCTTTTAAAAAAAATTGTGATACAGTATATATTACAACAAATTTACTACTATAGCCATGTTAAAGTGACATTAATTGAACTTGCAACATTCACAAACAGCACTATGATCTAATTCCAGAACTTCAAAATTTCATCAGACAGAAACCCTTCACCTATTTTTCCTTCCCTTCAGTCCCTGGCAACTACAGCTTTTTTTTTTTAATGATGAAATACTCTAAAATTAACTCTGATGATGATTGTAGAATTCTGTGACTATACTAAAATCTAGTGAATTGTATAGTTTAAATGAGTGAATTGTATGGTATGTGAGTTAAAGCTCAAAGAAGGAAGGAAGAGAAAGAAAGAAAGAAAGAAAGAAAGAAAGAAAGAAAGAAAGAAAGAAAGAAAAGAAAAGAGAAGAAGCAAGGAAGGAAAGAGGGAAAAGGAAGGAAGAGAAAGGCAGGAAGGGAAGGAAAGGAAAGGAAAGACTGGAAGAACTCTCTGACACCCCAGCCTCCACCTTCAGCACAAGCTGAAAGCAACCAATCACTGAAAAAATCTGCAACGATGGCAATAGCAATACCCAAACCCAGCTCCATTCTCAAAGCATCAAACTCAGTCAGAGAAAATGAGGCACATCCATTCCCAGGCATCAGTTCTACTTACCTTAGTTTCTTTTCTTTTTCTACACATGTGAGTTGACACTGCATCAAAAAATAGGAGATATCCATTAACAAGAAGAAAATCCATTCTAAAGAAACATAACATAAAGCAGAACCAGATGTCAGATGAGTGGAATTGTAGAATGATGAGACTTACGACAGAGACTTAAAAATGACTATGATGAGTTAAGTGAACAATCTATTAAAAAAAAGATAGATGGGCTGGGGATTTAACTCAGTGATTTCACCACCTGCTGCACAAGCTCAAGGACCTGAGTTCGATCCCCAATACCAAAAAAAAAAAAAAAAAGATAGACAACCTATATGAATTGATAAGGAATTTTTGCAGAGAGATTAAAAACTATATATAAAAATAAAAAGCAACGTATCAAAAATGAAGTCCTTTGATGTACTTACCAGCAGACCAGAAATAGCTGAGGAAAGAATCAGTGAATATTCACGATAGAAGTCATCTCACCAAAAGCCCCAGGCATGGTGGCACATGCTTGTAATCCCAGCACTTAGGAGGCTGAGGCAGAAGGATCGATATGAGTTTGAGGCCAGCCTGGGCTACATAGTGAGTTCAAGGTCAGCCTGAACTACATAGCAAGACCCTGTCTCAAAAAACCAAAAACAAACAAACAAAAAAGAAAAATAATCACACTGAAACACAAAGAGAAAAGAGTGTGCAGGGGTGGGTTGAATGGAGCACTCAAGAACTATAAGACAATAACAAACAGTACAAATATGTGTGCTATGGGAGCCAAGAAGGAAAGAAGAGAGAAAAAAGGAGATAGTGGCTGAGAATTTTCCAAATGTGATGAAAGACAAATCACAGATCCAAGAATTTCAGAGAACTCTCAAGCAGGATAAATATAAAACACATTCACATCTAAATATATAGTCGAACTACCAAATACAAAAAAAGGTAAATATTAAAGGTAACAAAGGAAACAATGAAATATTACATACAAAAGAACAAAGGTAATACTGTAGATTTTTTGTTACAAATTTTACAAGTTAGAAGACAATGGTATAAGGTCTTTAGGTATGGAAAAGAAAAGGCTGTCATCCCAGAGTTTTATTTCCAATGAAAACAGCATTAAAATGAAAGTAAAAATAAAGACAATACAATAAAGGTGAAGAGTATTTATTGACAGCAGACCTGTACAACAAGAAAAGTTAAAGGAAGTTCTTTACGCAGAATGTATGTGACACCAGATGGTAATCTGGATTTACACAATGAAATGAAGACTACCAGGAACTATAAAAGAAAATAGGAAGAAAGAATGAATGAAAGAAGAAAAGAAGAGAAAAGAAAAGAAAAGAAAGAGTGGGGAGGAAAGAGGAAGGAAGGAAAAGAGTGGTGCAGTCCCTCAACGCAGCAGTGAAGGAAGGTGTTTGGGTCTTGGGACAGAACCCTCGCGAATGGATCAATGCCTTTCTCATGGGAGTTTGGCCCCCTTTTTACTGTTCCAAACACTTACACTTCGACTTTATGCCATAAACTGAAGCAACATGCAGCCCTCGTCCTTTGTGGCCATCCAGTCTTGGACTTTCCATAAAACAAAATAATCCTCTTTTCTTTATATATTACTCAGTCTCAAGTACTATGTTATGGCAGAAAAAAACAGACTAAAACTACTGTTTCTCATTTTTAATCACTTTAAAAGATAATTAACTAAGGGCTGGGGATGTAGCTCAGTTGTACAGTGCTTACCTGGCAAGCATGAACCCTGAGTTCGATTCCCACTACCAAAAAAAAAGATAATTGACTGACCAAAGCAAAAATAGTAACAATATACTGTGGAGTTTATATCTATAGAAGTAAATATATAACAAAATATCACAAAGTTTACAAAGAAGAAATGAAAGTAACAGATGTGAGGTTCTTAATCTTTACATGAAATGGTGCATTATTATCCCAAGATAGGCTAAGAAGTTTAAAACATACATTGTAAATCCTTGGTTAACTGCTAAAATATTTTAAAAGAGGTATAACCACTGATCCAGTAGGGGAATAAAAAACTAAGTTAATTCAAAAGAAAGCATGAAAAGATGGAAAAAAGTTAAAAGATCAGATAGGAAAAATTAAAAAACAACTTGCAAAGTGCTAACTTTGGATTCAGCCATAGTAATAATCATATTAATGGTGAAAGGAAGAAACAGGCAGATGGGATTTTTTTTTTAAAGACCCAACCATAGTTTGTCTATAAAAACTTCTCTTTAAATGTAAAAATATAGACAGGTTAACATGTAAAGAATGGAAAAAGTTATGCCACACAAACATTAATCAAACACCAATCAAAAGAAAACTAGGGTGGTTATACTAACAGTAGACAAAGTAGGTCTCAGAAGAATATTACTAAGCATAAAAAGGGATATTATATTATAATAAAGGGGCTAATTCATCAAGAAGACATAATAATCCTAAGTTTACAGAGTCTAATGACAGACATTAAAAAATACATGAGACAAAAACTGAGATAATTAAAAGAAAAAAGACAAATCCACAATCATGGTTGGAGATTTCTCTATTCAGTAACTGATAGAACAAGTAGACAGAAAACCAAAAGATATAGAAGACCTAAATAATAATATCAAACAACTTGATCTTAGTGACATTTATTGAATGCTACACAGAACAGCAGAATAAATATTCCTTTCACAAGTACTTTAAAGGTTTGGGAAAAAAAAGGATCTACCAAAACAGAATGCATTGTCAAAATTCTGCCCACAAACAACCCTCAACAAATTTAGAAGAATTGAAATCATATAAAGTATGTTTTATAATAAAAATGGAATTAAACTATAATCAATAACAAAAATAGAGCTGAAAATTCCCCAATATTTGAAAACAACACACTTTAAATGGATCAAAGAACAAATTACACTAGAAATCTCAAAATACTTTTAATTGAATGAAAACAAAAACACCATCAAAATTTATGACATGCAACTAGAGTGATTGTCAGAAGAAAATTCATAGTACTAAATGCATATACTAGAAGCAATGAAAACTTCAAATTAAGAATCTAAGTTTAAGAAGAAGAGCAAATTATAGCCAAGGGAAGCAGAAGAAAGGAATAATGATCAAAGTAGAAGTAAATGAAATTGAAAACAGTTAAGTAGAGAAAATCACTGAAATCATAAGTTTTTATTGAAAAAAATAAAACCTTCTAGTCAGACTGGTCATGAGAAAAAAGGATAAAGATACAAATTACAAGCACCAGGAATGAAAAAGAGATATCACTACAGCGCTTACAGATATTAAACTAATAACAAATAACCATTATGAGCAACTTTATGCCAAAATATTTGATATTTTAAATAGATGAACTGTCCTAATGGTCGGCCCTAAGAAGTACCCAGGGCATTTCTTCTACATCTGTGCCTGAAGAGGGGACGTGTGAAATACAGCATGCCCAATCTGCTGCCAAAAACAAGCCTCTGGTCCCTGTAGGGTGGGGTGGCCTCAAAGAGGGGACATTGGGAGAGCTTACTGGGTTCAAATTCCCCTGAGTTTATCTCAGGACTGGGCCTATTTCTCAATACTGAGTACACAAGAAATGACAGCTGTGGACTTAATTCTAGGATTGCACAATGGCAGTGTTGTAAAAATCCTCCAATCCCTCCCTGGGTTCTTCCCCTTTTTAACCCTGTCACCCAGGACCCAGGTGAATAGTAATAAGCAAGGGCTTTGGCATCAGATCAACAAGAATTCAAATCCCAGCTCCTCCTCTAGCTATTACCTCTCTAAGCCTCAGTTTTTCCATCTCTGTTGTAAGGTACTTTCACGGTTGTGAAGGTTAAGCAACAGGATGCATGTACAGTGTTATGTGCAAAGTTAGACCTAAATTCACTTCAGTCTCTGATCTCTTCCCTAAAGGTTTCCCTGAAAACTTCAATTCAGACTGTGTACTCAACCCCTCTCAGTTTGATTTTAAACTTCAGAAGCTCTAGGAGAGCTGTGACTGGGTCTATTTTCCCCCAGAACATACATGGGTCTTGGCAAAGACCATGTGCAGGATAAACATGTTGAATGAGTGAAGGAATGAATACATGCACAAATGAATGCCATCAGGTGTTCTAGTTACCATGAAATTTAATGCTAGATCCCTCTCTGTACCTTTCCAAGTCCTTACAGTACCTATGATATCAGAGGAACTAGGAGTAGGTAATGAGATGAATAAGATCTATTTCTTACCCTTAAAGAATTCAATAAATGTTTGCTGCTGTCCTTCCTCTCCTAGATTTTGTTCTGGACTCTAGGACCTCAGATCAGCCTTACTTCTGCCTACAAATAAGTGGAAAGGAGAGGAATGTGGACAAATTGTTACACAAGCATTTGTTTCTCCAAAATGTGTGGTTCTCCAAGCTGTGAACTTCCACAAAGGAAAGACCCTGCACTATATACTCCCAAATTCCTAGCCCTGACCCCAGTATTAAAGTGGAATCTTAAAAGGAGAAGAGGGATATGGCTGTAAAGAAGGCTTCTTGGAGGAAGATACATGGAGAAAAGATAGATGGGAAGGTGTGGAAAGTGGGAGCTGGGCGAGAGGTTCAGGTCAAGAGACTCAGAGGTGGAACAGCACATGCAAGGTCACAGTAAGTGACTTGATGTGAACAGAGAGCTGGATTCATGTCAGAGAGAGACTGGGAGAAGAGTGACAGGGGCAGGATTGCATAAGGCCTTAAATGCACTTGAAAGTCAAGTCAAGGATCTTGGGCCTCATTCTAAGAGCTATGGGGAGCCAAAGAGAGAGTGGTTGGATGATGTATTCCCCAAATCCTTCTGGGAGTCTGGAGACAGGACCAGTGATGCGACTAATGCAGCTGTCTGTCCCATGTCCAGGTGGCATGGGCCTGGGCAATGGGATTGGACAGAACTATTTCCTGGTGGTTGGGGGTGGAAGTATCATTGTGTGTGTTTTTATATCCGTTCTTCTCAGAGGGTCAGCCTAATTAGAAATTATCCCAAAGCCTGGGGGAGGCCAAGGTTTCCAAAAAGAGGCTTAGAAACATTTGACAAAGCCTGACTTTATATTTCTTTCCCTTCAATATCATCCTGCAGATTCAACACTTTTCTGCAGGCTTTCAGGTTCTTCTAATCCTGGTTATCTCATCCAAAATATTGGCTTTCTCACTCTAATTTGTGTCTCCTGCATGCTCTGAGCCAACATCCTTGTGCAGGCAGCTGGTTTAAAACAAAACATAACCCAAAAAACCCAAGACTATGTTGAGGGTGGAGCCTGGAATTACAAGGAAACCACATTCTAGGAGCAGCTCCTACCTGAGGCTGCCATTTCTCCCTGGAATGGGCCTGCTGGTCACCTTCTCTGTTGGAACTATGATGGCATCTAAGGGACTGGGAATTTTGGGAGGCCACTGAAGAGAGACTGACACATTAATGTCATTGCTTCTTGATGATTCAGTGCCAGCTCCTGATAACCAGTGCCTCTTTCTCTTGAGGGCATCCTTCACAGAATGCAGTTTAGATCTTGACGTTAAAATATGGCCTTGATTTTGCCGCTATTATAAAGCATAGGCACGGGAGCCAAGGACCTTCAGTTTAAATCCTGGATGTATCACCTCTAGCTGTGTGACTCCATTCAAGTTTGTAATCCTCTTTGTGCCTCATTTTTGAAATATGAAAAATGGGACTGTAATTATATAGTATCTATTCTACAGATGTTGTTGTAAGGCTTAAATAAATCCATCCATGTAAAGTATCTAGAATAGTAACAGGCAGAGAATAAACACTGGAGTTTAGTACCTGTTACTACCTGCAGTTGTTCTTGAAACCTGCTGTTTCTCCTTTTGGGAAAAACAAGGTGGCACTAACCCAGTATTTCTGCTGCAGGGTCTCTGGGGTACCACTGGATGGATCTATCATCTATCTATCTATCTATCTATCCATCCATCTATCTATCTATCTATCATCTAGCTATCATCTAGCTATCTAATTGTGTGGAGTTGGGAATTGAAGCTAGGGCCTCAAGCATGCTACACACAGGTTCTGGCACTGACTGAGCTACATCCCTAGCCCACTGGAGCAATTTATTCAGCAGAGCAAACCTGTGCTCCATTGCAGTCTCCTTATGCAAACCAGCAGTAGCTAGCCGAGTGTGGCAGTACAAGCCTGTAATCCCAGTGCTCTGGGAGGCTGAGAGAGGAGGATCACAAGTTTGAGCTCAGCCTGGGCAACTTAGTGACTTGGTGAGATCCTGTCTCAACCAAGCAAGCAAGTGAACAAGCAAACAATGCTGGGGATGTAGCTCAGCATGAAGGCCCAATGCCTAGTATGAGGAGTGAGGAAGAATAGTAGCAGCAGCTCCTGAGAGCTTGTTAGAAATATAAATTATTGACCCCACACCAGACCTAATGAATCAGAAACTCTGGTGTGGGCTCAGCAAGCTGCATTTTAACAGTTTCGGAACAGCCTATAGTTTGAGGACCCCAACAACAGAGTACAGCACAGCAGCTGATTTAGGTAGAATGGGCCCAGGTCAGGTGCCACCTCCTCCCTAGCTGCTTCTGATTGGCCCTTTCCTGGCATCTCTGACTTCCTCTTCATGTTACCATCATTTGCACCCAGAGGTGCTGCCCTGAATTGCAAATTTCCTGAGAGCAGGGGTGCATGTCACTCATCTCTGTGTCTGCCCTGGACAGGCCAGGGCCTTCCACAAGGGGTTTGTTTGGGAAAGATCTGCTGAATCAAGTGTGGGACTATTCCAGTCTCCTCTTACTAAGACCACTATCACCTCTAGTCTTTCAGACCTTTGTTCGAACTGCAGCCCTCTCCTGTGCTGAGGGGCATGTGTATGTCATCTCTGGTCTCTTCCAGTTCCACTGGTTTCCCTAGGCATTTTACCCTTCCCTCTTTCTTCACGGCCGATCAAAATGCTTTGGACAAGTTGCCCCATCTGCAGGCAAACCTGTCCTACCAATTGTGACTTAAATCAGAATTCTACTGATTTGTCAAGTATCGTGTACCAGGCCCTGCACTGGGCACTGTATGTTCACTATGTAAGTCCTTACAACAACCCCAGGAAGGAGGTATTATATTTACTCTCATACAAACAGGGTCTAGAGAAACTGAGGCACAAACAGCAACAGCAAGCTAAGGCAAGGTGAAAGCTTTTTCAGTAAGGGCAAGGCCAAGGGCTGGGCGCACATGGATTAGGAGAAATGCCTTGATTAGGCAGACTTATAAGTATGACAGAAATGATCTGCCAAACCTGTCCTAAGCTTCTTCTAAGTAACCAGGCTGACAGGGTCTCAGCCCACTGGTGCTGCACCTTCTGTTTATGTAGGGAGAGGCATGGGCCTCTCCATCTTGTCTTCACTGTGTCCCCTGCACCAGCACTTACTATGTATACTGTAGAAGATTTCAAACAGTGTTGCCCCAGAGCCCTGCAGACTGGTGTGGGTGGGCTGGACAAAGGAGAGTTTGACCACATGGATCTTAGGCCCACCCTTGCTGAGCCAGGGTATTCCCTGAGTTCCATGTCACCTCTTTGGCTTCTGAACAAGGTTGTATTTGAAGAAGGGGTTTCATTGCTAAAGAGCTTGGGCAGTTCCTGCTGAGGTGGCTTTGTGTTTCTTCCCCCAGAGTCTAGGCCCATGAAGAGCAGGGACTGTGCCAACATCCAACACAGGATTTGGTGTGTGTGTGTTGGGGGGGTGTCTCAGGGAAAGTGGGCCAGAAGAAAGGATGGATGAAACACAAATGCATGGGGGGCTCTCTCTGCAGTGTAAGGTTTGCTGCCCTGCCACTCCCATCCCCCTCTCCCTGGAGGGAAAAGGCCTTGAGAGAGTTGAGTAAGACACTTGCAGACAGAATGATGCAAGGGGAGCTTTCTGTACATATTGCAACAGAACATTCTAAAAGGGGGCATTGGGCTGCTCTGATATCTGGGTCCCAACAGTCTCAGCCCTCCTCTACTCCTCTCCTGTTGGCCAGACCTGTCATCAGTATAGAGTCACAAGCCATTACTGAGCCCCCCTCTAAGGCCTGACCTGAGAGCTGGAGGGTTCTTGGGCTTTGAATGAAACCTAGAGTCATCTTCAATCACTCCTTTCCTTTCCTCTGTCCCACATCCCTGTCACAGAGTCCTAGAGATCTCATGGCCTTAGCTTCCCTCAGAACCACTCCTTCTCTCTGCACTGCCATCTCTTCCCTTAGTTCCAGCAATGTAATCATCACCATCACCTTCATTTCTTCCACCCAACATCACCTAGGTCCCTCACGTGCACAGGCCAGGCCAGTGTTGGACTCTGGGACACAGAGAGGACTCTGATTCCCTATGCCCTTGGTCAGCCTCTCCAGGGAGAGGAAGATATATAAACATTAGGTGTTACAAGAGCTCTGAGAGAGAGAAGTAGGGGAACTCATGGCACAGAGCAGGTACAGGGACCTCCTGAGGCCATGTGCTGCATACTTTCCATTTCTCCCAGACCCACTCCCCACTTCTGACCACCTGAACCCTCCTTGGATACCCGGTATGGACTACAAGGGCCTCCCTCACCCATGGGCACCGGGAAGTCACAGCATTAGATGGCAGGAAGGCAGGAGCAGACAGTGACGTGCCAGGGCACTATGGGTTGCCTGTGCTCACAGCTTCTATCAGGCAGCACTCCTGATACCCAGCTTCCATGGTACTGGGCTTCCTGCCCTTGGTCCTCTGGCCACAAAGCCCCACAATGCCACTAGGCTTGGGCTATGGCACGGACCCTGGAGCTTTCCCTATACTCTGTCTACATCTTCGTAAAAAGTCTTTGTATTAAACTTTCCTCAAATTACCCAAATTGAGTGGACTATTTTCTGCAGGGAGCCTGCTTAATACAAGGCAGAGGTAGTCAAGAAGGGTGCCAGATAGGTGAAAGTTAAAGGTGTTCTTGTCTGACAATGATCTTTGTAAAGAATAACACTGACCATACTTCACCCCCTACTAAAAAGTTTCATGGCTCCCCATTGTTCTGAGGATAAAGTCTGTATTCTGTAGCCTGTCTTCTGAAACTGTGTATGAACTGGCCTTTGGTGACCAAATGGCATGTAAGGGAAGTCCCCCAGAAAAGGCACAGTAGGGGGCTCAGAAATGGAGTGGGGGAAGGAGGCCCCAAAAGGGTGCACCCACGCCATAAAGCTGCTCCAACTGGCAAATTCACACATGGGGAAGGAGTGGGTGAGTTTTGAGCCAGAGGACCATGCCAAGCTCTTACCGCAACCTCTGCCCTCCTCCTCTCTAAGTGAGGTGAGTACTGGCATGAATCTATCCCCAAGGGGCCCTTGCTTTGGGCAAAAGACTGGTTTCAATGCCTCCCTATCACTGACATCCATCAAGTTCTTGGATTCCCAAACTTTCCCTTTCCCAATTGTAAAATAGTAATAACCCCACAGGGCTATGGGGGAAGCTTAAAGGAGGCAATGGATGGGAATTCACTTTTGTCAAGGAGTTCTGTTTAATGTGGTCCTTCCCCTTGCCTGCAAGACAGGAAAGGTACAGAGGACTGAAGGCTCAGGGAGGCTGAGTGTAAATCCCGGCTTCGCCACAGGTTTTGTATCCTTTATCCAAAGTGCTAAGGACAAGAAGTCTTTTGGATTTCAGATTTTCTGGTTAGGGATGCTGTGCTTATTTGCTGCATGATCCTGGATGAGCCACTTTACCTCTTGGCACCTCATTTGCAAAGCAGGGGGATAATTGCCCTTCTGGAGTGATTGTGAGCACTTAGGCTCACATAAGGGATGACCCAACACAGATCATACGCTTGCTGTTTCTTTCTCCCTATACATCTCATAGGGCAGGCATCCTCTCTGCCTGGGGGCCAGCCACTGACCTTCCTCTTCTGTGAGATGGAGGGGCTAAGCTGGCATCATTATCATGCATCTCAGTGGTACATGTGTCAAGCTCTTTGCCAACTACAAAGCCATGAACATAATTCCTAATGGCAGCACAGCACTGGTGACTGAAAGGGGGTACTAGGATATACTGCTCTTGGTAAAGCCCACTCTGGTCAGGTCCTTCTTGGAGGAGTGACTTCACCTGTCTCTGGTTTAGCCAAAGCACTTATAAATTGGGCTGGGAAGTGCCGAAGAAGAAGTGACCTAGCTCAAAGAACACATCTCACAGCTGTCCTGCTCACTTATAGGAAGAGCAAGCAGGTCATCATAGGAACCCAGGGATGATGGGAAGTGTGGGAATGGGACCAGAAGTCACTGTTTTCTCTGAGCACCCATACTCTCTTTGTATGAGGGGAAACAGTCCCAGGACATGAATAGCTTCCAAGAAATGTCTGGGTCTAGTTTGCCATCTATATCCAACCTGGTCCAATGTACTTATGCAGTAGCCATGGTGTAGTAGCTGGGGGCAAAAGGAGGGAATTTTTTACAAGTCAGGATTCCAGGGCTTGCTATCTTGCAGATGGGAGACCCAGAAACAATCAACTGTGCCTCAGGCCTTGCATCCTTTGGTGGATGTTCCCACACATGAAGCTCCCAATCTGTGGGCCAGGTTTTATGGCCCTCACCTTGACACCACCAAGCCAGCTTATCTTTCTAGCCCACGAATCTGATCCACACCCCTGCTGCTGCTCACACCCCTGCCTTGGTCAATCATGCTCAGGATAAAGCCCCAGCTTCCTGGCAGGACTACAAATCTTTCCCTGTTGTCAACCTCTCTAGCTTCATCTCCTACCCCTCCTTTGTCTACATCCTGCTTCTAGCCACATTAGGGTACTCACGGCTCCCACTCCAGGCCCTTGCCCATCGTGTAACCTCTGTCAAGACACTTTCCCTTCCTCTTTGCCTGACAGAATCAGACTCATCTCATCAGGTCCAGCAGCAATGTCCTCTCTTCTTGACCTTCCAATATACCATTCCCTCCTCCTCTGCAGCTACTATACCCACTCACTGGTCAGTCAACTGTGGAGTAAGCCTCTTTGCCAAGCCAGGCCCACACCAAGGCATAGAGTTGATGAGGTTCCTGCCCTTGGGAAGTTCCTGGTCCAGTGGGGAGGCAGACATTGCACATAGATGGTGACAGCACAGAAGGGAAGGGATGAACTTGGCATAGCTTCTCATGTCACCCTGTCTGTGACCATTGGCTTTGGGATATCATCTCCACAAAAATAGGGATTAGATTCCCCTGGCCTAATTAGCACCTTGCCCAGAGAAGGTGCACAGGGAACATGTGCTGAAGTAGATGCATTTGGGATCTGAATATTTCAAGCAGGCCTTGTTTACTCAAAGTCTTGCCATTTATTATTATTAGAATAATGCTATCTTGTTTTTCATTGCATCATTGTAATACCCTTTACATGTTATGATTTTACTTGATCCTCAGATACTCAAGTGAAGTCAGCAAGCTAGGAACGAACTGTCACCTCTATTTCATGATGCGGAAACAGAAACCTAGACAGGACACAGATAGTGACTTGCCCAAAGGCCCTTGGCAAATCAGTGGTAGAGGAGGGGCCAGAACCCAAACTTCCTGCTTTTGAGCTCAAGCTTGGCCCCTCAGATCATACTAGAGGTGAGTGGGTAGGCCCTGGGTTCCAACCCAAGCCCTTTTCCATAGGAGACCCTTCAAGAGCAGGCACAAGTCACACAATGACCGGGGGTCTTGGCTCCAAGAGGAAAAGATGCAAGTATCCACCGACACCTTCAGCATCCACCTGGCTATACTCATCTTTGCCCAAAACTATTCCACACCCACTTGCAACTCTCAGCCTTTGCACACACCAGTCTCCGTGTCCCTCTGTGATATGGCATGCCACTAGCCTTTCATCAGTTTCCTAAAAGGCACCAAGCTCTTTCCAGCCCCCAGGTTCTCACCACATGCTGGTCCCTCTCCTTAGGATGCTTTTTCTCTATCCTTCACTGACTCAGACCTCAGGGTTCAGTTGCATTTGTTTAGTGAGATTCACCCCTGTGGTGTTCAGGGAGTTGAACAAATGGAAGTGTTTCTAAGTCTCAGCTGTGGTATCAGTCACACACTTCCCTGTGACTGTGATTCCTGTCACTTGCCCCTCCCCATGTGAAAAGGTGGTAAAAACCTCAAAAGCAGAGACTGGTTCTCTTCTCATGCTGTGACCTCACAGCTAGCTTGGTCAAGCTATGCCGAAGACATTTGTCTTTTCACTGTCATGCTTGTTGCCCTCCACATCCAGTAAGTCACTCCACTAGATTCCATTAGCTCTCACCTCCTCATGTACTCTCTTTTTTCTTTTTGTGGTGCTGGGGGCCCTGGCATGTTAAGCCAGTACTCTACACTGAGCTGCACTCTTGGTACCCTTTTCTCTAGGCCAGCTCTTCCCTCTGTTCCCTCCACTGCCCCAGGCTCAGGCTCACCTTCTCTGCCCCAACTTTCCCATTGCCTTCTCACTGCCGCCCCATCCCCTCATGTCCATTTCCCACACTATGGCTCCAGAACTCATTTTTTTTTTTTTTTTTGTACTGGGGATTGAACTCCGGACCTTGCGCTTGCAAGGCAGGCAGCAGCACCACTGAGCTGAATCCCCAGACCAGGCTCCAGAACTCTTAAAACTCATCTGAGGATTGTCATTTTCCTACAGCTCCCCCAAGAACCCCAATGTCTCCAGAGTGGCACTTTAGGGCCTCCTAAGATCAACCCCAGCCCACTGTCTCCAGCCACTCCAGATCTCCCAACCTCCCTCAAACATGCTGGCTTTGCCAAGCTTTCACGCCAGTCCTTCTGTCTTGCCATCACTTTCTCCATCTGCAGTACTCTTCTGCAATATTCATTCATGGGCAATGAATGTGATTTTGGAACACTTTCTGTGTTCCAGCCTCCTTTCATACCTTGCCTTACTTATCCTTTAGTTCGAAAAGCACCTTGAACAGTGATAATTACCATTCCTATTTTATAGACATGAAAATTGAAGTTCAAGAAAGGGAGTCTCAGACCAGGGCTCCAGGTCTGCCTGGAGCCAAAACTGACGCATACTATTCTATCTGGGAATTGCACCCGGCCCTCCTGTCTGAGGCAGAGCCCATGCTCCTCTGTGGCTCCTCAGCTCCCTGGCTTCTCTCTTGTCCCAGAACTGTGGCCGGTGTCTGTGCATAGCTGTTTCTGCCACCTCCCATCCTCACGAACGTGAGCATCCCAAGGGCAGGCACATGCTAATCAGGCTGGGTATCCAGCATCCAGTAGAGTACATACGGTCTGTGATCTTCTTGATAAAAGGAAAGGCAGCGGTATTTCGGGTGGTTTAGAAGCTCAGCTCTAAACTAACTAATCCCGACACTACCTGAGACGGGATCTCCGCAAATGGAGACATCTGGCGCACAGCCAACGGAACACAGGCACACACACCCCCCACCCACGTCCTCCCACACGTGCTGTTTCCCCGCCCACATTCTAGCTGCCGGGCTGGACCAATTTCCGCGGGGGAGGTCTAAGGGGCGGGCTGAGGGAGCAGCTGGAAAAACCGGGAGAGCCCCTTGGAACCAGGCCTCCAGCGCCTCTGCCTCCCGCATTCCGCCAGCCTGCGTAGTGCAGGACCCCGCCCTGCCTTAGGCCTGCACCGAGCCGAGACCCAGGAGCTTCTCTGCGATCCCCGCGCGAGGACGTGGTGTGGGCCGCGGGGTGGAACGGCCTGCCCCCCAGCTCACGTCGCGGCCCGCCCCCTTGAGAGGTTATAAATTGCTCGCTCCCTACCACGAACCTAGTGGCTGCCTCGCTAGCTGGTCTTTGGCTCTTCGAACTGCCGTGCCATAGCTTCCGGTGCCTCAGCCGCGCTGCTTGGGCGCGTCCGCGGGCTCCCGTGCTCTGCGCGAAGCCCTGGCCCCGGCGGCCAGGGCATGGACCAGGGGCGTGGGGCGAGGCGGCTTCTCGCGGGGCCGTGACCTGCACCGGCTTCAGCATGAAGACCCTCATAGCAGCATACTCTGGGGTCCTGCGAGGTGAGCGTCGGGCAGAGGCTGCCCGAAGTGAGGGCTCCCATAGAAGATCTCCGCTGTCCCGTGAAGGGTCAGGAAAATGGGGTGAGTGTCTGTCACACCGGGAGGCTTTGATCCTGGTTGTGTACCTGCAAGATTTCCAGGAAAGGGCTCTGAGGCAAGCTGACTGGTGCTAGAGGACTGGCCACTACAAGATGAGTTCCCAGCTCCTTCCTTTTCTCTAGGGGACACTCGCGGACGGCTCCAGTTTCGTGGGTCTGTGATGAGGAAAGATTCATCATTATCTAGCCTGGTTACCCAGTGTGATTCAGGCAGCTTGGCATCCTAGTCAAGTCTGGGTTTATTCTTCATTTTGGCACTTGTCACTTTTTGCAATATCTGTTACATCACCTCCTGCCCCCCCGCCCCCCCCAGGTCATAAGAATGATACCATCTACCCTTTCCAGTTATCAGGAGCATTGGAGAACTCCTCTCCAGTCCCCAGTACCATACCGTCTACAGTACTCCTGGTAGTTTTCTCCCCATACCCTCACCAGGTGGAGCAAGCTTGAATGAGGCAGGCTGGCAAGGGTTTTGCAATCCCCTGAAACACCCGCTGATGGGGACCATGTCTGGCTGGGGCAAGTGTGTCTGCACTGCCTTACATCCATTTGCCACTCCAGGCCAAGGAACCCACTCAGCAGCAACTCTGAGCCTAGTATAGGTAGAAGGCAAGGTGGAGGGGGTGGTTTGCTGGGTGTCTTCCAGAGTGGAACTCAGGCCCTCAAGGAATCAAGGGCACATTGAAATCAAATGCCACAGAATTTCATATGCAAGGAAAAACACTCCTTCCACCTTCATGCTTGTCTATCGTTGGAGAAACTGAGGCAGAAAGAAGCATTCTCCCCAAAGTTTCCTTAGCAGATGCCTTGAGTGGGAGATTAAATTCAAATCCAGGAGACCTTGGAAGTCATCAGAGCTATCCTGGTCTGCAAGTCTGTCATGCATGATGCCCCTGTCTGATCTCCTAAGTCTTTTTTCTGCTTGCTAAACCTCTGCTACCTGGGATTTTTCTTTGGTAACAAATAATTCCCTGCTCTATTCGCCTTTGTTATAAAAAAAAGTGCTAATTATGGAAATCTTGAGACAGAAAGAAAACAAAACTTGCTGGTTGGTCACCTACCCAAAGATAGCTTCCTATTAGTATTTTAGTATATTTATTTACAATTTTCCTTATACATGTGTTATAGATTTTTGAGGACATCCTGTAGATAGAGTTCTGAATCCTGTTTTTACCCTTAATGTTACATCATGAATATTTCCTACTGTTAATAAAAAATTGTTTTTAATATGTTAGTGGCTGCAAGGTAACCTATGCTGGAGCTGTGTCACAGTTTAGTTGTGCTGGGCATTGACATGGTTCCTCGATTATTGCTGTGGTTATCTGCCCTCTTGGTCTGGGCGCTGCTTGTTCCCTTGGAGAGGTATTGAGCTACTGTTGCCATCTTCCAGTGAACAGCCTGAGCTGTCTCATGCACCAGTCCAGCAGCCTCTGATAGCCTCTTCTGTCACTTAGAGTGCTTTTCTGTTCACTGCACCCTTTGATACCCTTAACAGGGAAGAAGAGGAAATGCCTATGTTTGTGCTTTTAAGATGTCTTGGTCTCCAGATGTCAAGATAGGGGCACTCTCTGCAGTGGTCCTTCCTAGAGATCCCCTTCCTGGGTTCTGCCCTCCACAAGCTGTGAGCTGTGTCTTCCAGGAACCAAGGAATCTTAGCTCTGTTTTTGACCTAGAATTTGTTATTCAAGAGAATTTGTATCCTAGCAGGTCGTCTTTGCCAAGTCACATAATATCGTATCAGCACCATTTCTCCATATTGTTATCAGATCTTAAAAATATGATATTTAAAAACTGGGTGTGAGAAATTATAGCATGGAGTGTATGTAGCAAGAGCTAATATGAATACAAACCAGTCAGTTTAGCTCTTCAGAGTCTACTTTGGTGAAAGACTGGGTGGGGTATGGGAGGTGCTAAACCAAATTTTATATTATCTCGGTATTTCCATTAGTCCTGCTTTCTACATCCTCAGCCCTTGAAGACACTACCCAGTGGCCTAGTTTGCCTTTTCAGTTAAGTTCCCAGTGTTGTGAGATAGTGAGCACCTTGTCCCTGGCAGTATTCAAGGAGAGACCATGGATTCTCTGAAGGGAAGTCCTGTGTTGGGTGAGAGATTGCAATAGATACCTTCCTTGGTGCCTGGTTTCTTTGTAGCATTGTGGGTAGAGGAGGGAGGATATTGGAGGGGGAGTGTGTGTTGTTTTCTAACTTCTGAAGGACAGTATTGGCCCAGGCATGTAGGCTGCGGAGTAGCTGCATGTGCATCCCTGCTTCTGCCCTTGTATGGGGGCTCTTTGGGGCAGAGCCCTTGAATGCTTACCTGTGTCCTCCGGGTTCAGTACAGGGCCCAACATGAAATGGTGACAGTAAAATTCTGTGCTGATGTATTCTGTGGGACTCAAAGAGCAAGGCCAGGAACTGGGGTGGGATTATGGAGGGGGCAGGTTTCAACGCATTACAAGAATCCTTCCTAGCAGCTGTTGATGACTATGCTGGCTGGGCTGGTGGGGATGGAGTTCCCCTTTTGTGGGGGTATGCAAATAGGGGCTTGGTAGGTGATAAAACAGAATATCTAGATTGTTAGGGAAAACTCTGGAACTAAGGAACTCAGTCATAGAAAGAGAAATCATTCTCATGTTCCCCCTTTCCTCAATTTTGTGTGGCATTTCTCCTCCCTTACATCACTTCCCCAGCTGCGTAGAAATGACTTTTGGGTTACCAGTGTTACCAAGTGCTCATCTGGGCTGGGAAAGGAGAACCAAGAGTAATATTTTATTAGCAGGCTAAGTGACTCAGCTGCGAGTGTGTAAATCCAGCCGCACCCCCATCCTCCTGCCACCAAATTCAGCAGCAAGTACTTGAGTCATAACAACGTGGATACCTATTAACGCTGGACCTGGCCCAACTCTTATGGTACAGATGGGAAGCCTGAGGTCCTCTGAGGGAAGGGACTCATCCGGGGGTACAAAGCCAGGCTAGAACCCAAACCTATCTCCCAGTCTGTGGGTGTGCCTCCTTAAACAAGAGGAGTGTGGTGAGGCCTGGAAGGCTGAATGCTGCACAGCAAAGGTGCTCAGCAGTTTGCTGAATGAGTGAAGGCTGCCCTTGGTCTCCCTGATGGGGTCCCAGGCTTTGTAAGGAGGCTCCCCACACTTGCCCATGTAGAGATAACAGCAGCCCCCAGAGCTTCTGCTTCCAGGTGCACTGTCTGTCACCCCATCCCCATACTTGATACCTTCCAAAGTCCTCCTCGGAGCCTGTGGGGCCACATGAGTGGCCCCTTCCACCTCACAGCCTTCTGTCCGCCATGCCACCCACCTTGTTCCAGACAAGCCAGTGGTCTTCTTGATCTCCCAGCACTGCCTCAGTTCAGAGTCAGGGCCTTTGTGTGCGCTGTCTTCCTTCCCAGATCTTTGCGTGGCTGGGTTCTGAATACTCAGTCTCCTCTCTGAGGCCTTCCCTGGCCACCTGCCTAGAGAGCCACCCCCAGTCACCACATTTTTTGCTTTCATGACTCTTACCATTACCTAAATTCTCATGTGTGTTTATCAGTTCAGATAATTGTCTCCTCCATAAGAATGTCAGCCCTTGGGAACAGGGACTTGTCTGTCTTCATGTGTGTGTGTCCCTCATCTAGTGCAGTTGTGTCCCTAGTATCTAGCACAGTTCGTGGCAGGTAATAGGTACTCAGTAAATATTAGTTGACTGAATGAATCATTAATGGGACTTCCCTCTTCCTTTTGGCACGAAGCCTTGCGTTTAGCTTCAGTGTGGTTCCTCGAATCTTCCCCAGGGTTCTTTTCCTACATCTTCTGGGTGCTGGGGCTGCAGCTGTCTCTTGCCCTAGAGACACATAGTCTGCCACAAGCTGGCCCCTGGGGCTGAGTGTTGAGTGGGTGGAGCCAGACTTGACGCAGTACCCCTCATGGTTTCCAGAGCTTAGAAGCCAGAGAGCTAGGATTCTAACCCTGTCTTTCCTTTGGGACGTGGCTGGGTATCTCACTTCCTCTCTGAAGATCTCACTCCCCCTTGCCTCAGAAGTAAAGTTGGAAAACTCAGACTCTTGAGATATGAGGGTTTAAGTTAAGGTGAATCGAAAGTGCTTTATGAGCTAACTTTGTGACACTCTGTGAGTGAGGCCTTGTCATTTGTTCTGTATAATAGGCTGCAGTCCCCATTGCTGTGAAGAATGCCATACTCCTCTCTGGCACATCCATTAAAGCTTCACCAAAGGGCAGCTAAGGTGTGGACCCGTCAGTGTATTGACTGGACACCTTCTGTGTGTCAGCCAAGATCCATACCTTCCAGGAAACAAGGCCAAGGGTTCACACAAGATGATGGTACAGAGGGATCTGAGCCATGACAGAGAACAAAGGGGCAGTTGTGGAAGCCTAGAGGGGAGGATGAGGGAACTAACTAAATCATGCTGGGGTCTTCCTGGAAGAGGTGACATTCAGTCTGGATCTTGAAATATGCTGAAAGATGTTGGGCAGGCAAGGCATGGCAAGAACATTCAAGTAGAAAGAATAGCATAAATAAAGGCATGCGTTTGGGTGGAAGGGGCAGTCTGACTGTGGATCAGCCTGGGCAATGGTCCTGCTTCTGTGTACTGAGAAGCAGAGACAAGGAAGACAGCAGGCTTTATCCAGGCCTGTGGGGGCTCATCTCCATCTGCCTAGGAAGGAAGATATCTTCCTTCCGAAGAGAGCCCTTCCGAAAGGAGCCTGGTGTAGTCAGAGTTTCCTGGTCTCTACCACTCCTGAAGACCCCTGGTATGGAGCTACTGTTGCCCAATGGGATCATGCTAGGAGTCAAGTGCAGGGTCTATGCAGCCCCTACTCTGCCACTGACCTGGTGTGCAGCCTAGGCAAGCCACCACCCCTTGCTGACTCTCAGTCTCTATGAAATGGACAAAAGGTGAAGAGAGTATCTTCCCAGTTATGGTGCTGAACTTGGACACTTTGGGCCTATTAAAAATAGCAGTAA